GATAAGAAATCTGTATGCAGCAATAGAGTATGACTCGACTTGTAACACTGTCAAATGTGAATTCACAGTTCAGTTGTAGACGGCATGGCTAGTATTAAAGTACAGTGATTCATCTCTATTCTTCTGATTTTCTCAAAGTGTTGAGGGTACATGCAGAGCCAAGAAGGATAGAGAAGAGGCAGGCCAAAGACCATGACATTGAAAGCCTGAGAGAGCTAACCTTGATTTATTCTTTTGTCCAACTAAGTCTTAGGTAGTTCCTGCTGTATTCCAAGCACTGTGCTAAGATCTAATGGTGAAAAGACTGAACCATTCTGTCCTCAAAGAAGTTACGGTTTAGTGAAGAATAAAGACAAGTGAAAAGGTGATTAAAATATGAAAGGATAGCAGCTGCAATAACTGCCATGCAGAGTGCTGTGGAGTAGATGAGGAGCAATAAGCCCAAATTTGGAGGTTGGAGGTGAGGGTAGGAAATGACAGTGAAAGCCAACAGCAGGCTGAAGAGGAATTAGCCAAGTGGAAATGGGCAGAGGAGGCAGAAAGATTGTTAAGAGCAGAGAGAATGTGGTGCATTTGAGGAACTTAACTGTGGTAAGGCTCCTAGTAAAGGATGTAGCTATATTACGCAGGACCTTATAAGCCTTATTTAGGAGTTTCAAAAATGAGAACGTATTGAAGGATTTTATGCATAGGATTGTTACAGCCCACTTCACTCTTGAAAGAGTACTGACTGCAGGATAGAAAATGAATTGGAGGGAAGAATAAGTCTAAATGAGAGCGACCTGTTGAGAGGGCTTTACGCTACTTTAGAATATGATGGCGTTGGCCTGGAGCAAATCAGTGACAATTGGAACAGAAGGAAAAGGAGGAATACGAGAGTTTGTAGAAGGTAGAACACATGACCTTGGTGGACACTTAGTTATAACATAGTTCAAGTCAGGGTCTTGTTAAAGGAGTTTGAAGACATCGCTATAGAGAAGCCATTATTATGGTAAGTTTTTATTATTATTATCTGTGAAGATAGCCATTTTGTGATTTCCTGCCTTTTCCTTTCAAACCAGTCATTAAAGAGCCAACAATTGAAGCTTTGAGAGTTAGTTCATTTCCCTGTCCATTCTTCGGTTCCACAAAACCACTTCTCCGGCCCGAGAATCACTCCATTCCTTTCCACCCTGACTCTTCTGCTCTCTGATTCCAGAAGGCCTGAACAGGGCTCTATCCCACCACATTTTGCTCTCAACCAACTGCAAAAGATAGGATATAACCTCACAAAGTAGTCCTCCACTTAAGTGTCAACTAACAATGCCCTTTCAGGCAGTAATCCTCCTGTTAGCTATTTGCAATTTAGTACAAGAGTAGTACGTGAGGTCTAATGACCTTAAAAGTTAATCTCTAGTGATAAAACTCCAGTTACCACTCAGACAAAGGGAGAAAATAGTGAGAGAAAACATAGAAGTATTTCTGGTGCCCTTTGGGTCACATTATGATTTGGTTGACTTTCCCAGGCCTGGAAGTCAGAACAAGACGGCAGAGAAACCAAAGAAATGTGAACAAACCCTGAGATCCCAGAAATCTTTGCTAAATCACAATTTAGTAAGCCCTAGCTTAGCTGGGACCACTTGAATTGCCTAGAATGCCATTTTGAAATCTTTAGCACTACATACTGGCTGTGCATTTAAGGTAGAAAGTGGAGAGCTTTCAAAATAATAGATTTCCCCATGCTGAAATGCTGTCTACACAGCAGCCACTTTTTAATTCATCATGGTCTTGTAGCAAGATTACTGATTATAAAGTCTTGAAATGAATAACCAGGGATGGAGAAAGTGTGGGAATTGGTATTTCTTTAATGATTTAGGGATTATTGGCCATTCGTTTTCAACTATTTGTAATTGAAGTCTTGAAATAATGGAATTTATCAGAGGAATGCCTCATTCACCCTTGTATAATTTGAACATACTGAAATGGCACATGTGGACTCATAAATCGTTTGTGTGCACAAAGGGATAATATATCACTTCACCCCTCATTCACTCAGTGCTGGAGGGAGGAAAGGCATGGAAGTATGAGTTATAGCTTACTAGACAGAATCCCATAACTTCACGTCTTACATTTCCAGGAGGCTTTTTCTATGTAACCTTCATATTATTTATACTTTCTGGTCATTCACAATAAAGGACACTTTTATCATGAGGTTTTTTAATCAAGGTTTTTAAAACTTATTTGTTTATCAAAACACTCAGAAATGTTTTTGACAAAGTCACTTTCAGGCAGTCAAACAGATCATGGTCCTAGGCTTGGAACAATGGGCCCTGTTGTCTACACAAACTGTCGAGTTAGGCGTGTAGTCTCTAAACACCAGCCTGAAATGATAAACATGTTAAAATCAAATTAAATTGTTTCTTTGTGGGGTAAATTTATGTTTAAAACAAAGGCAGTATAACTTTCTCTTTCTTATTAAAGCTGTAACAATAAATTCAGTTATTTTTAACCACTGCAGAGTGCAGACATTGTTATAAAGACAAACATCTGTTTTAAAGCATCAGTTTTCCAGAACCAATTCTTTTTACTATTAAAATTATTTTCTTACTCCAAGTCTTTTGTATGCTGATGGAAATCTCAATCCATAGGGACTGATACTACACATATGTGAGCCTGGAATCCTAAAATTTTCTGTCACAAGGAAATGTTTGTAAAATATCACATATGCTATATGGATATCAGTTAAATACTCATGAAAAATGATCTCTTCTGTATGGTTTACATTTGGGGTTCATGTGTTTAGATTTTCTATTTTATTTTCAATACTTTCCAAATCTTTACTACTCAAAGTGTTGTCCTTGGATGGGCAGTATCAACATATCTCGAAAACTTGTTAGAAATGCAGATTCTCAGGTCCCAACCTACCCTACCACCCCCAACTATGGAATCAAAAACTGTATTTTCACAAGATCCCTAAGTGATATGGGTATGCACTAAAGTTTGAGAAGCCCTGCTCTAGATAGTTGCTGACGGTAGATGGTAGATGGCATTTTAACGGAGACAACAATTATTAATGAATCTGAATGGTTTGCTTAAGAGGCAAAATAATAATATTGTGTTAACTAACACTTTTGAGCACTTAATGTGTTCTAGACATCATACTAGCTTGATGCTTTTTATATGCATTATCTCATTGGAGCAACAGAAAAAAGAAGACTCGTTTTCTGAGGATTAAGAAGTGACTTGGTAAATAGAGAATTTTAGGAATATTCCAGGTAGTTATCACAGCCCAGAGAAAATGGCTAAATCTAGACTGGAAGAATTCAAGATAAGAACAGGTAAAGTTTACATGTGAGGAGGATAGACTAGAGCCGAGATAATGGAGACAGGAATGTCTTCCAAACGACAAGGAAAAATGTTACAGTAATGGATTCAACCAGCCAGGGAAGGGCCATTTGGAAGTGACATAGCTAATATTCTGAATATTGATTTTCACTCATCGTCTTGCTTTACAACAAAGGTTAGAAGACTATGTTGTATGTTTACTTTATATGTAAATGTACATATGAATAATATAAATGTATGTTAATTTATATGGATCCAAGTCTTTGCAATGAATAATTTTTACAATCTTAATATTGGCATAGAAGTGTGTCATTTTTAATATATTATCATGAGTATTAATTTTTTTTCTTAAGGAACGGACTTAAGTACAAGAGCCATTGGAGGAAATATAAGTATATTTGGGGATGAGAGGGACCAGTTTCTAATCTTGATTCTGACCCAATACCCACCATAAAAACTGATAAACTATACTATGACCAACTAGCCTATTAAGGGGATTAGTGTTATTGGTGTGTTTCATAGAATTTTTTTTTAATGGCACCCAAAACATAGTCTTGAGTTACGGACCTTCTGAAAAATGGGAGAGTGGATAATGCTTCTATTTGCATTAGCTTTTTAGGGACTTAGATCATCCTTATTCTAGTATGAACAATTTCTGTAAATTTGTAGGAGACACTATGCAATTCCCATTAATGTTGCTAGAAGCCACTACTATAATTCCACTTCTCCGGAAGTAAATATCAAATGGCAATATTACTGGGTAATAATATTTTAGATGAGAATTATATTAGTTCTCTATTTCTACATAACAAATTACCCAAAAATTTAGCAGCTTAAAACAAACATTTATTATCTCACGGTGGGTTGGGAATCCAGGTTTAGCTTAGCTAGGTGCCTGTGGCTCAAGGACTTTCATGAGGTTGCAATCAAGCTGTTGGCTGGGGCTGCAATCTCATCTGAAGGCTCTATCCCGGGGGATTCATTCACAAGGTTATTGACTGGCTTCAGTTCCTCATCACATGAGCCTTTCCACAGGCTGCCTTGTGACACGTTAGCTAGCTTCCCACAGAGCAAGCAATCCAAAAGAGCTCAAGACAGAGAAAACATGCCCAAGCGGGAAGCTATGATCTTTTTATAACCTAATCTTGGAAGTGACATTCCATTACCTATGCTGTATTCTATTTGTTAGAAGCAAATCAGTAAGTTCAGACCATACTAAAGGGAAAGGATTACACACAAGTGTGAATACAAGGAGGTGGGGATCACTGTAGGCTGACCATAATTGGGGTTTTTTTCATCTTGCTTCCATATTTTCTAACATGCCTATTTTGGACATGTAGTACTAGTATAACAAGGAAATAGAAATGTTAAAGGTAATAAAATTAAACTCAAGAGAAAATATTCTTTTATCAGAAATGTTGATCAGAAAAGTCACTTTTCTTTGGAGCTTTCTAGTAAGGCAATTGAATTGACTGAAGACAAGATTTATTAATGAGCTTCCTGGATACAAATAAGATCACGCTGTGATTCCAAGTCTGAGATCATTAAAAGGGTTTTGTATAGCTTTCAAATTTTTGCACTGAAAAATTGAAATAGCAAATCCCCCCTGGTGGTAATATGAGTACATCAGTCTTTCTCATTGTCTAACAGTCTCCTTCTTGCTCTGCTCTCAATAGTATGCTTGAGAGTTCAAACCGGCTTGATGAAGAGCACAGGCTGATCGCCAGGTATGCGGCAAGACTGGCAGCAGAGTCCACTTCGTCTGTAAGTAGTTTGAGTGAGAGGATGGCGTGTTCATTGTTATCCTTATAGTTGGTGCTACAACGGCAGAGCTGAAGAGTTGCTGCTGTATGGCCTGCAAGACCTAAAAATGATCTGGCCTCCCGCTGCTTCCATTTTTTCACTTTTCAGCTATCATTCTGGTATGGCATAAATCATACCGTGAGATATTCTGCTACATTGCTGAACCAGCCCAACACCTGATTTCCCTGGATAATTCCTGATCAACTAATGTAAAGAGCAAAGCAACGATTCAAATCCAAAAGTGGCTCAGATGAGTTTCTACTTTCATCAATATGTAAAATATATATTATAAAGAGAAAATTATATAATGAAATCAGAAGAAAAACCTGGATCACAGATCAAGGCTGCCATATGCCAAACTTAGCTATAGAATGCCATTTAGGATATAAAACATAGGACCTCAGATTTTTCATTAGCAAAACAAATCACTTCTTTGTCAAAAGAAATGCTAATTAAAAATCACAGAAAAGCTTTATGAAAGCCAGACCTTTGCCAAGCTTAACCTTTCCTACAATCAGGTTTCTGGACCTTAAAAAGCAAGCTGAGTTTCCCCATGTCTTTGGGCTTAGGCACTTGGTGCCATTTTTATAAGCTTGGCATTCTTTGGTAGAAAGATTAGTTGTGATTTTTCAATTTATTTTAAAAACAATAAATATTGACTTTGAGGAATTTCTGTAATACATATATACCGCATTTGTATACATGTCTATGTGTGTGTGTGTATTTAGTCAAGGGTTAATTTGTATGTGTATATATATATATATAATTTGTTGAGTTAATGTGTGTGTGTGTGTGTGTGTGTGTATATATATATGAACATATATATACATATATATGTGATTATATAAGAATAGAGAAAGCTATGACTTATGTACCAGTTGTTAAAGCTGGTTTCATGACCAGGAATGATGAGCTGGTTGGTATGAATGTAGAAGAAGTATGTATATATGGATTTATGTATCCATCAATGCAAATTAACATATATGAATAAAGAAATGCTAAAAGTATATTAACAAAAGGAAATTTGTATTAATGATGACTTTAAAACGATGAAATTTTTCATTGTACATTACAGTGATTGAACAGTAATTCTAGAGAAGAAGGCAGCTCAACAGTGAAGCATTTTTTAAACCCACCTACATAGAGAATAGTTGCAATGGAGACAGCGTGGCAAGAATGAAATAGCTCCCCAAAGACTTCAAGTCAGAAAGCTAAAAAACTATTTTTCCTATGTTTGGTGTATCTGCCTGCCAAAAAGAATTCTGTTCTGCTTTCCATTGCAGAGATGTGCTCCAGATCCACAGAAAAGTTGGTCCTTAGGAGAGGAATAGCAATTTAATTTTACATATTTGCCTTTTTTGTTTTGATAGAAATAGTTTCTTCTTTCATGTCTACATATCTCATGGTTCCTGTCTTCTCAAACGCATGTGAGTTCCCATTCCCAGGATTAAATAATGTAAACCACATATTTTACAGCAGCCGACTCAGCAGAGAAGTGCTCCTGACATCTCCTTCACCATTGATGCAAATAAGCAACAAAGGCAGCTGATCGCGGAACTAGAAAACAAGAACAGGTAAGGCTTTTTAGACATGCTGGCTTTTTGATCAAAGCGTGTGTTCATTAACCTATAGTCATGCTTTAAAATATCCAACTTTTTCACCCTGTATGCACAGTTAAGAGAAAACATCTAGAGTCAGTGATGCTGGCTTCCAAAAAGCTACTCTTCAGATTTCAGATCTTCAGAAGTTTCAGGAAAAAACTATACATATATATATATATATATATATATATATAGTTCTGAGATGTCACTGCAATTAATGTTTTCTCCCTAGACAGTATCATCTTCCTTTTAAGGACGCACTTGTTTTTGTTAAGGACCTATCTAATGCAGAAGGGCCTTCCTGAGTGCTAGGAGAAAAGTCACTCTGCCACCCAATGATAAGTAGAAGGCTGACCAGGGAAGGGCCCTGTAAGGACCCCAGGCTGAAAGAGGCATTTGACATGACACCACCATCATCAAGTCGTTCAGGCCAAACATCTCCAGATCCAGCCCGTCAGCAGGACCTTTCTTTATTCAACACGGATTTGTTCAGTCTACCCCAATGGCAGATCCCAAAGACTGTCCACTTCATCTCCACCATTACTACTCAATCCAACCTGTCATTTTGTAAAATACAAACCATATCATGTTATTTCCTGTTCAAAACCCTCTGACGGTTTCCATCATGCTTTGACTAACACTTACCCCTCTCACCATGGTCGGCAAGGTCTTACCTGACCTAATTCCTGTCTGCCTTTCCAGCCACAGCCCACCCTTACACTCGTGCTTCGTGCAGCTTCTTTCTTTCTTTATAGCCTTCACATAGGTTGTTCATAAGTTCAGCTTAGAAAGCTCTTCAGGGTCTCTGCATGGATGGCTCCTTCTGATCGTTAAGGTCTCGGCTCAAATGTCACCTCCTAAAAGACCACCTGGCTAATCTTGCCCACTGCCACCCACCCCAGGAACCACTCTCTGTTACAGCTCTGTGTGTGTGTGACTTATCACAATCTGAAATAATCACATTTATATGTTTGTTTCCTTGTTTATTGCCTGTCTTCCCTGACTGAAATGGAAGTTCTTTGAGAACAAAAGCCATGCCAAATGGCCCCTGGATTCCAGAACCTTGCCTGGCACTTTGTAGAGACTCAGTAAATATATATTGAGTAAGAAAATAACAAATAGCTGAGTCAGAACTCAAACTCAATGCTGACTAAGCCCAACATAGGAACAAATTGTACATTCTATATGTCTTAGAATAGCACCAAAATGTCTTAATGCTTAATCCCATTCATAAACACTGATGCCACTACTGAGATCAAAATGATAAAGTAGGAGGTTGTGATCATTGTTCCATGCCTGTAGAGTATGACCTGAGAACTGGTCAAAGTATCCTTTAAAGAAAAGAAAATACTTTGAAGAAAAGGGAATTATGATTATTTAGAAAGGCAATAGTGCTCTTAAGATAAAAATAAACTACATGCTCATGAAAAGCAAAGCTCTACTCCCTTCTCCCCTCCCTGTCCCCCAGCCGAAAGAAATTTCTCCTGTTGCTTTCTCAGCAAGAGGCCCAGGAAGGATGTAATGGATGGAGAAGATCTCCATCAAAGTTTCAATAAGGAGCTGCTGTGTCTGTATCACAAGGCACCCTCAATGTGAGCTAAGGCCCATGTAACTGTGCAAGAGGCCGTTGTTTGGGAGCTCTTTGAAAGTCTGAAATGACTAAGGGAGAAGACTTGGAACACCCAGAGCAGGGTTTCTTACCCTGGGATGTCAGGGTATCTGTGAAATCCCCAAATTGTGAAAGTGCTGAGCACAGAATAAGTGGTTTGTAAGTATCTAGAGAAATATCCTTCAAGGGAAGATACTTCTTCTTCTTAGTCCAGGCAGAAGAAATGTGTAGAATCGGGAGGCAGGCAAGCAAATCAGCTGGGATTTAGGTGGCTCAGGCCTCAAGCCTCAGGTGTGGGCCACCAGCTGATGGAGAGGTCCAAGAGTACAGAAGATCCTACAGAGCCAGACTCCTTAGTGTAGCTCTGGGCTCAGCTGGGGCCATGGGGATGCCCACAAGTCAGGGCCAGAGGATGGTTAGAATTACCAATGAGTTCCAAGATAGAAACGTCAAGGAGAGAAGAAATGTCAGTTGAAAAACTTATTCTCAGTGACCCAGACACGCCAAGATGACTTCCTAGACTGTACCATCCAAAGGGAATCAAATATTTCAGAAAGCAAATGCTAACTTGGAGGAAACAATGAAAATGCTTATGAAAAATTTTCATACTTTCTTCAAAGTATGCTTTAGAGAAAAAATTAAAAGGAAGGTACAAATTTGGTTGGCACATTTTCGCATTCTTAGAAAAAGACTAAAATGAAAACTCACAGGCCCACAAACACCTTATCTTGGTTGCAGTGTTCCCCTACTCTCCCACCTCCGCAAAGCACTTTGTTTTCCCTTCCAATCCTCTGCTTCCACCAGGCACGGGGATAGCACACCTGAGGGGAAATTGGGACTTTCTTTAAGGCAATACCCCAGGGATATCTGCCTCCATGTGAGACTCCAGAATCAGCAGAAAGAACCTGGCTGTGGCATGATATCACTCTTACTGCTTGTTTCCAGGACATTTTTGGATTGCATTCTCTGAATGCAGGTTTTTAGGATCAGAGAGAGAGTAATGAAATGGGAATGAGAAGAGATGGCAGAAAGAGAGCTTCATCCTGTCCCTGAGTTCTTTCACGGCCCCTAGAGTTCCGCACCCCATGCCTGATGAGTTCTAGTCCATCTTGAACTTATCACTGTAGGCCAGCAAAGTCACATTCTCCAAAGACCCCAGAACCATGTCCCAGAAGCCAGGTCACACTCTTGCACCATGGAAATTCACCCCAGGGGTCTCATGGTCTCCAAGGTGATGATTAACCCAATAATCAGATGTCTAAACTTCAGGGAAGGATGGAGCTCCTCACTTCACTTCATGACTACCCTAGGTCATCATGGACATTTCAGCACTGATCTTTAGAAGATAATGCTTCCTTCCTTGCAGGAGCCAGTTGTGGTTAGTATTAGCAGTAGCGGGACTCTTCAAATTACATTATATAAGTTGCAGCCTGCCTGGGCTACACCAGTCAGAGCAAGTGCCAGAAGACTGAGGGAGTCTGATGTATACGGGCTTTGAGCTACCCAGCTTGAGTTCAAATCACCTCTACCAGATACTTGTTATTGGCAAGTCCATTAACCAGTCTGTGCTTTGATTTCCTCATTCATGAAACAGATAATAGTAGCACCCATATATAATAGAATTTTTCTAAGGATTAAATAAAATAAGATTAAAGAAGATAGCACAGTTCCTGGATCTACACTAAGTGCTCAATGCTTATTACATATCTTACCATTATTTTTTCTTATCAGAGCTGCTTCTCTCTTTCCCTTCCTTGGGCCAAATGACTCTGCCACGATTCTGTCCTTAGAATCAACAAGGAGAACTAGTGGGAGTCATGGAATATCAGGATGTTAGCCCTGAAGGAGATCTTCGAATTCCAAGTTCACTGGTGTTCCGGCTGAGTTCTGTGGGACCCTGAGGATGACAGAGGAAGGCCTAGGAGCACAGGGGCCCAGCCTTTCTTTATCCAGAGCAGCTCCCTTTTAACTGTTTGACATATTGGGTTTTCATAGAAGATTTCTTTTAAAGACTTCCATCATGGAACACCAAGGGGGACAAAAAAAGGTTGAAAATCACTGAATTGTGGTCCAACCTTCTCACCATACCCATGAGAGGTGCAGTGACTGGTAATTAGCTTCTTGATTCTTGTGTGTTTGTGAAGCAGACTGTTGTAAAGCAGTCTGTCAGATGGAAAGCCAACCCCTTTGCTCCCCAAGTTCACCTTCCATTCTTGGTGCTTTGTTCTGTCTTTTTGGCTTTCGTGCATTTTGTTGGGTAGGGAGACTGACCCTTCCCCCAACAACACATGACTTGCAACCTTGCTTAATGGCTTCAAACTCACTTAAGGATAATTTGCCTTACACAGGTCACCTATCCTTTATGGCCGGCCTAATGTTCACCTCAGTGCAGGGCAGCCCAGGCCCCAACATCAATAATAGACTGACACATCTCACCCCTGACAGAGGTCACGCCAAGAGCACTCTTATGTCACAGACTCAATTACAGTGAATCCTTTTAAAAGCACTTTCCTTCTAAGGCTACCCTCATTGAGATCCATCGTTAAGGCTGAAAATGTTAAGAAAAAGAGAAAGAATCTTGCCTAACTGAGGGCTTCTCAGATAAGTTCAGTGAGAGGAATTTCATTCCTGGTGAGAAAATGGGATTATTTAGTTTTGTGAAGAGAGTACCATTTATCCTTATTTTCCCTCCAAGCACCTCGTACTTGCTGCCGGTACTTTATGGTGTCAGACTGCGATCATAAATAATAGGAAGATGCATTTTTGTCTCTTAAGCAGGGCACTTCTCAACGTTGAACACATTACCACGGCATTACGTTACTTACCAGAGAGATTATTAGATCCTGGTGAGAACACTCAGCTTGAAGGCTCCAGTGACATACTGCAGAGTCTTCATGGTTGGATGTTCTGGAGATGAAGTCAGTATCCTCTCACCCACAGTACCAACTAGCTACAGCCAACGCCTCGTAAACACAGTTGGTTAGTGAGGGTCTGTTCTGCCCCAAAACGTAGGATGAACCCCTCTTTCTTTGTTCTAGTGGCCCTGATCTGCTCGGATGTTAGATCCTGGATATCCTGGAAGTCAACTGACCCTGGTTTCTTCCCTTCCTCCTCTCTCCCAAGAGAAATCTTACAGGAGATCCAGAGGCTGCGGCTAGAGCATGAACAAGCTTCTCAGCCCACTCCAGAGAAGGCGCAGCAAAACCCCACTCTGCTGGCAGAACTCCGGCTCCTCAGGTAAGAGAGGAACCCAAGGCACCTCAAGGAATGCAGGTGTTTGAGATCTTCAATAAAGTCTAAGTGTCGAGCTTCTGGCCATTTTCTAATGGTCCCTAAACACCCTAGCAGCTGACGTTGGTTTGCTTTTTTTTTAATATCACATATCTAACTTTTGAGATTTGGGGGATTGGGGAAGAGGCTGTTTATATTTTAATCTTTCATTTAATACAGAAAAAAGGAAATGGTTCCTTTGGATCAGGAGCAAAATCCCTCACTAGAAAAAATTTGAATTCAACTCTTTTTAGTCATTTGCACTATCAATAATATGTTTATGATGCAAGTGGTCAATGAAACAAACACACAAACAGCCTCATAAACATCACAGGTTTTTACATTTGAAAATTTACCGGGCCCGGCCCCATGGCCAAATGGTTAAGTTTGTGTGCTCCGCTGCGGCAGCCCAGGGTTTCACTGGTTGGGATCCAGGGCGCAGACATAGCACTGCTCATCAAGCCATGCTGAGGCGGCATCCCACATGTCACAACTAGAAGGACCCACAACTAAGAATATACAACTATGTACCAGGGGGCTTTGGGAAGGAAAAAAATTAAAAACCTTTAAAAAAATTTACCTATAACCCATAAAAGGGAGTCATTTTCTCTAAATCTTGGTTTCCAATAGCTTTACATATAGATCTTAAAAAATAGACTTTGTGCCTTCTTGTTTTGCAAATGAATTAAAAGACCTGGTGTTATCTGCTCTGTCATCATAAAATCTTTGAGTTGGAAAGGACCTTAGAAAGTCATCTGGTTCAACACCTGAATTTCAGTGCGCTTCTCCGAGTCAGAAAGGTAGAGAGCAGCAGGACACAGATGAGGACTGCAGTGCCTCCCACCGCGCCCACGTGCAAAAGGAAAGTTGTGCTGTGGGCTTCTCAGAAACCCCTGTCAGAATTAGAGTACCATTTGCTTCATCCATACAAAGTGACCAAATTCAGCAGAGTCTGTATGGCTGTGTTTGGATTTTACCAAGTCCCTATTGATCATAGTCATGGATGTTTCGGGGGGTTCCGTCCCAGCCCTGCTCTTCGGATATGTTAACATCTGAGCACAGCTGCACAGCTGGCCCAGGCTGCAGGCCCTGCCTGCTCTCAGCTGGGACCCATTCTACCTCTCACTGCTGGAGGGGCAGACCCACTAAAGGCTTAAGTTGTGGGAAGGAGATCAGATTACAGAACCTGCAATTTGTGGGGGTGCTTGATACAAAGAGATCACATCATACTTTTGAATCACAAAATAATTTAACGGAAAAAACAGAAATCCCAAATGATTTCTGGTCCTGCCTTCAGAGAGATGTGTTAGAAATCCTTGCACATTCTCCCACACCATCACCCAGAAGGGATGAAAATGAAAAGGAGGAAAAAGTGATATTTCATATCATTCTCCTTCTCAAAGGCATATAAAAGTAAATGCCTGCTTGAAAGAATACTTTGCCAAATAGGATTATATAGGCTTTCCAAACTCACAAGTTGAAAGTTAAGTCTAATGTACACAGAAATATAACTGAATAAATCATCTTGGAAATAGAGTAGTCATTCATGTGTGCATCAAGGTACCTTGTCTGCCTGAAATGTTCTTTCTACTTCTTCCACTGGTTGTCCCATTCTCTGCTAGAGGGATGATGACTAGGAATTCTTCATAAGCATTTTCATCAGTGACCTCCTCCCCACCACCCCCCGTTACCATTTGCTTTCTAAAGTATTTGGTTCCCTTTGGATGGTACAGTCTAGGAAGGCATCTTGATGCGTCTGGGTCACTGAGGATGAGTTTCCCAACTGATATTTCTTCTCTCCTTGACGTTTCTATCTTGGAACACACTGGTAATTCTAACCATCCTCTGGCCCTGACTTGTGGGCATCCCCATGGCCCCAGCTGAGCCCAGAGCTACACTAAGGAGTCTGGCTCTGTAGGATCTTCTGTACTCTTGGCCCTCACCGTCAGCTGGTGGCCCACACCTGAGGCTTGAGGCCTGAGCCACCTAAATCCCAGCTGATTTGCTTGCCTGCCTCCCGATTCTACACATTTCTTCTGCCTGGACTAAGAAGAAGAAATATCTTCCCTTGAAGGATATTTCTCTAGATACTTACAAACCACTTATTCTGTGCTCAGCACTTTCACAATTTGGGGATTTCACAGATACCCTGACATCCCAGGGTAAGAAACCCTGCTCTGGGTGTTCCAAGTCTTCTCCCTTAGTCATTTCAGACTTTCAAAGAGCTCCCAAACAATGGCCTCTTGCACAGTTACATTGGCCTTAGCTCACATTGAGGGTGCCTTGTGATACAGACACAGCAGCTCCTTATTGTAGCTTTGATGGAGATCTTCTCCATCCATTACATCCTTCCTGGGCCTCTTGTTGAGAAAGCAACAGGAGAAATTTCTTTCGGCTGGGGGACAGGGAGGGGAGAAGGGAGCAGAGCTTTGCTTTTCATGAGCATGTAGTTTATTTTTGTCTTAAGACTGCTATGACCTTTCTAAATGATCATATTTCCCTCTTTACTTTAGCCACAAGAAAGCTGAGAGCAAAGTTTGCAACCCAGGTCTGGCAACTGAATAGGATTATACGATAGGCATCTCTGTTGCTCATCTGACACTTCCTATGCACTAAGCTCCCATATAATTGCTGTAACAACCCTGGGCGATGGACACCATTATTATACTCTTTTTATAGATATGGAAACTGAGATTCACAGAAGGTAAATAATTTGCCCAAGATTCCGCACAATGAGCAGGACAGGTGATTCCATCTCCTTTTCTTAGGTCCTAATTATCTTGTGCCTGGACTATTATAATAAACACTTAATTGATTCCTGGCCTCTGGTCCATCTACACTACTGTCAGAATTACCTTTCCTCATTTTATTATTCATTTAATTCATTCAACAAATATTTCTAAAATGCAGTGAGCTCAGAACTTTTCTGGGCATTGTAATACCAAGATGAGTTGGGAAAGATACTGTCCCTGGTCTCACAGAATTTGTGGTCTGGTAGGAAAATGACCTAAATAAAGTGATCAGGCAAATAAGAATATAATTATAAACTGAGATAAGTGCCATAAGAAGTCTTCCTTTTAAAAAAAAGACATAATTATCAAACCTGCCCTTCGCTAGACTCAGAAAAGGTGACTGTGAGGAAGGATTATTTGAGTTGAAGTATGAAGAATGGGACACAGGGAATGCGTATTAAGGGGTGGGACAGCTGATGAAAGGGTCTCCTGGAAGATAGAGACTATATGGCAGGAGCAAATCTGGTGCTTTCTTAGCTAAAGGTCTATAGACCTGGAATGCAATGAACAAAGAGGTGCATGGTAAGAGATGGGGCTGAAGATGTAGGTAGGGATAGACCATGACACTGTGTGGCCTTACACAGCATCTTGAGGATATTGCTATTAATCCTACAACAGGAAACCACTGAAGGATGAGAGTTACGTATCGAGCTAACACAGGAATTAGATTGTCAAGTCAGATTCACGTGAATCAGAGATTTACTTCAGTATTGAGCTTTACTAATAATTTCAAGAATATAGGCAACCCGAGGCACGGATGAAACAGAGAAAGGTCTGGAACATTCCATAAGGTTCCCCAGGTGTTTCCTTCCCACATAGGATGGAATTTCTGAGGGAAATTTTGCAAGGTGATCTAGTGAGCCTCCCCTGACCTTCCACCACCACATGGAACTGGCTGTCTTCTTCTCAGTGACACCACAGAGAGCATTTTGTTCTTGTTTTTGTTATACACTCACCATTATTGCTTTGATCTTATTTATGTCTCCTTCTCTCTCACCCAAGGACAAAAACTGTCTCCTACTCATTATTTTATTTACAGTGTCTTAAAACAAAAGTGCTGAATAGATGTTTGTGGGATGACTGGATAAACTGCAAAACCGTGAAGAGACAGCTGAAGAACTGAGTTTGCAAAGACAATCCCGTCTCCTATAGTGAAGAAAACATTTATTAAAACTTTGAAGCAACTAATTCACACTACAAATCTCAAGAAAAACAAGTATAATTTTTCATATCTCTTCCTTGCCTAATAAATAAGCATCATATTCTATACCTGAAAACTTGCATTCTTTTCAACTATGTAAAATTATTCTTTGAGAAAACTTGTTAATATAAGGTGACTTTTTTTGGTTTACCAATTAGAACTGGAATTGTAACCGCTGATGCAAGTCCATGGTTTCCAGACTTGAATTTCATAGCCCACCTTAAACTTTTTTATTATTTGGGGGAAATAACATAAAGTTGAATACTTATTGTTTTATCATATGATGACATTTTTAAAAACTACTATCATCTGAGGCCCACCTGGTGGCGTAGTGATTGAATTCATGTGTTCCGCTTTGGCAGCCTTGGGTTGGCAGGTTTGGATCCTGGGCACGGACCTGGCACTGCTTGTCAAGCCGTGCTGTGGCAGCGTCCCACATAAAATGGAGGAAGATTGGCACAGATGTTAGCTCAGTGACAATCTTCCTCACAGAATAAATAAATAAATAAAACTACTATCTTCTATTACCACAATTGTTTCATGAATGACAGTATATTTTTTAACTTTTTATTTTGAAAAATGTTAAGCCCATGGAAGAGTTGTAAGACCATTACAATGAATTTTCTTCCACATTTCACCTAGAGATTGCTAACATTTTTGAAACATCCTTCTCTACCTCTCTCTATGTTTATATATAAATTACGTACACATTTTTGATGAGCCATGTGAGAGTAAGTTGCAGACATCATTACCCTTTACCCTTAGGTAACTTTGTGTATATTTTCTAAGGAAAAAAAATATTCTCTTATATAAGCATGGTAGTGGCATCATATTTAGGAAAGTTAATTGATATCTATTATTATCTTATATATAGTTCTTGTTAAAATTTTGCTTGTTGTCCCAACACTGTTCTGGAAGAAAGATGGCTTTAACACACGTGCAAAATTAGAAATAATCTGACAGAATTTCAGAATAAAAGGCATTCCTTTAGAGATGAATACATTCAGCTCTATGAAAATAAAATCACTGCTTAGTCCTTGTTTTCTCATTTCTCCTTGGAACAGTGGAGGCTGCGTCACAGATTTGTTATCAGACCTGCATTTGGTAACCACTGGTGTAAACAATTCCAGCTAAGATTAAATAAAGACATTATTAGATGAATTTTTTTTAAAAAATTGAATTCAATCAAATGCATTGAAAGAGTAAATGTCATGTTTTGAAAGATTACTACTGTAAGATAAATGCACAAATAATTTTTTTAATTGTTGATTAATTCTAAATTAACACCAGTTAATTCTAAATTAATGCCAGTTTCTGATAGTTTTTAGATGCTTCTCTTAGGATTTCTTACCTACAATATTAGAATTTTGCTTCAACCTTCTTCTCAAAGTGCTCCTCTGGCCAAAAGACCAAAAATTACAGAGTAGTATCTAGAAGAGAACTGGAAATAAATCAGAAACATTATCTACCCATCTACGAAGCCCTACTGGGGATGCATTTGGAACACCATGTGCAGACAAGGTCAAAGAAAGAACAGCTAATGGTTTTGTCATTGAAGAATATTTTTGAATGGAGCAAGACTTGCAAAATTAGACTGCTTCAGCCAGGAAGACAAAGACTAAAATAAGATACCATTAAAGTCTATAAAATTAGGATGTTCCTCATTTTCTGAATTCAAAGGAAATCAAAGGAAAGATTACTCTGGGAGTGAGCCTTAAGTGGCAAGAAAAGCCAAAAATATGAATATATTCAAAAAGGGTTGAGATATGTTTATAAATTTTAAATTTATAATTCATTATAGAGAAAGCCTATATGAAAGCAAATTAGAAATGTCTTATTTATATCCATAAACTGTCCTCCCACAAAATATCTTTCAGTTGGATGAGTTGTTGACCAAACTCAGTGTGACATTTTTATATTGTCAGTTTTTCATTTCACAGTCCCGCTACAGTTCCACTTAATATTGTGTCTGTGCCGTTGAGACAGGGATATCCATTCATACATTAATGCATACATAGTTGAAGAATCCACACCTTTTTAAAATACAAGTTCTAATATTTCCAGCTGAGTCAGAAGTTTTGGGGGCAAGGAAAAAATTATATACACTACCTATTCACTAATGGTCATGAAATAATAGATTTGAAATTGATTTGAAAAGTATACGTATTCTTCAGAATTGTGAACCATTAATATTCTCCATACTGTTTCATTTCTTTCCCCCTTGTAACAGTATTTTTGTACCTCTTAGTGTCACCGTGAATGATACAGATTGCCGTTTGTGGTTTCCATTCTTGCTGACAGCCTTATAGAAGTTCTGCAAGACACAACAGAATTTTAAAAACATAAACCTTAGGTTATTTTCAGTTAGAACAATTATGGAGGAACTCCTTTATTCTAATTTCACTTTATGAAACCAAATCCAAGCAGAAAATTTAAATCGACTATAATAACTATGAAGCATTAATATTTCACCTCTGAAAGCCACCACATTGCATACTAAGGATGGAAGAAATTTAAAATGTACTTTTCTAAATCCAATTTCCAAATAAAGGTAACCAGTGTTTTCTGTGAGATTCACAAAAGGGTCCTTGAGTTTGGGAGGCCTGTGGGTTGCCCTTTTTCAGTGACCGTTTGGTTTTTGTTTGTTGTTGCAAGGGAACCCTATGGTACAGCGCAGGGCCCATGACATAGTAAGCGTTCAGAAAAGATTTTTTTTCTTTCTGGATAAGGTATTCTTTCTGAATCAGGGTAGAAGGGGGTAGTATCTAAAAGGATTTTAGTCCTGTTTTGGTATAACTTCTAACAAATAACAAATATGACTTCTCACAAATACACGTACAACTCAAGCTATAATGATTCCTTTGACAACATTTTCCTACCTGTTAACCATGTCCAAGGCCAAGAGATGCCCTTTTTCTGGTGGTGCACTAGTCCACAAGACTGGGAAATGTGATTAGCTTGGTGAGTTGACTGTGATCTCTGATGACAACTACTTCTTTCTTAGACAGCGCAAGGACGAGCTGGAGCAGAGAATGTCTGCTCTCCAGGAGAGCCGGAGAGAGTTGATGGTCCAGTTAGAAGGTCTCATGAAGCTACTAAAGGTAAGACAGTTCAAATAAATGTTTCCTAGACCTACGGCTATGACATTTGTAAAAACTTTTTGCACATAATGTGCAATGGTTTTGCCAATTATTATATGTGATTTCCCCCAAAATGTCGTTTCAGACTCAGATATAGGATCATTTCTTAGACAAATGAAATGGTAGGAATTACAGGGCTCATTCTTATCCATTTTCTGGAAACAGACTGCTAAGGAGGACCTTCATGGGACAACTTCTTCTTGGCTTATTTCTAGTTCCTTAAGTCCTTGAAAGTAATGTTTATTTATTCAGAAATATTTTACATATAATACCTTTTAGCAATTCTGACTAATTTGAACAGAAGTTAATGTCTAATTCAGAAAATTAAGATATAGCCATTAAATAATTTTGGTGATTATAGTCTCATTCAGAGGAATAATTTTGCTAATTTCAGTAAAATATTTTCTCTCATCTGTGTAGGGTGAAATATTTTTGTTAATTTCACCCCACAGTAAAACATTTTCTCTCATCTTCACTATGGGTCTCAAACGCAAAGTGTAAATGGGGATATCGCCTTACTTTCCTGCAGGTAAAGTGTTTATTGAGATGATCTGTAGAAGTCTTCTGCAGAATGCTATAATCTATTATTCTCATTGGGAAGTGACATTATTCCTTTAATGACCCTTTATTGTCTTCTTCAGTATACACCAAATTACATTTCAAGTCAAAAATAGACTAATTATGACCACCTGTCCACAGTCAGCCCAGGAGAAGCGTCAGTGCATCATCCTGCCGGATGTAAACAAGCATGAACCAGTATGGATTGGAACTGTGACATGCCAAAGGCAGGAACTGAAATTTCTGATAGGATGATGAGGGCAGAGTCCCTGGGGACAACTAACTTGTGAGACAAGATGTCCTGAATTTCAGTCCATGGATCCCCCACAACCCTGATACACCATAATTTATTGTTTCTATATTGTTTCTTCTTTCTGGCTTTCTTTCTCTCTTTCTTTCTTTTTCTCTTTTGTTTCTTCCTCTCTCTTTCTTTCTTCTCTTCCTTCCCTTCTTTTATTCATTTAACAAATATTTGTTGAAACCTACTGTGTCCCAGGCACTGCTGGAACACTTCTTTCTTTTGTTTTCTTTACTTTTTTTAATTCCTTGGTCAACTTTTCCTGCCATCAGTGTTGGGAATGCTTTATCTTTACTAAACAAAATTTACTTTTCAGAGTATTAGACATGTATGGTGTGGAATTCAGTTTTTGTTGTACTGTGTGTATCCAGAAAGCCCAGATAATTAATAACCTCTCACTGTTCCTGGCCTGTTATCTCATTTGATGATCTAGAAGAGCTCTGAATGCTTTCCTTTCCAAATATGCCAAACGAAGAGGGCTGATTGCATCTATCCCTTCACTGAATGACAGGAAGCTTTGAAAACAGCCCCCGACTTATAGTCCTATAGTTTCTGTCACCATCGCCATGGGTTAGGAGTCTATTTACCGCCAGCCATCTTGGCATCAAACTAGCCTAACTGAGCACAATCTATTGTATCAGGATGTACGAACACAAGGCTAGAGAGAGATTGTGTTGAAAGGTGGTTGGATGTGTGGAGGAAAGAGATGAGTCTGTAGTCTTAAATACCTACATAGACTTAGAATGAAAGTCAATGAGGTAGAAAAGGCTTGACCTGCCATCAAAGCCGGGTTGATGTTTCCCCTACCTTGCGTTCCTTCACACTGTATACATGCTCTTATTGGAACTCTGGGTAATCTAACTATTATTGATTCAATCTTTCTGTAGGAAGAAGAACTGAAGCAGGGAGTAAGTTATGTTCCCTACTGCAGGTCTTAACTAACAGTGGAGGGGCCTGCCGTCCTGCCGTTTTTCTCATTGCTTTTGCCTCTAATGTATGTTCATGCTTCAGTTTGGAAAGAGAAAAAAAAATCATACTAATTTGCTTCCTTTTCAATGTAGTGCTTGAATTGAGATATATAAAATAGAGCATTTTTTATAACTATTACTACTGTGGGCATCAAATGAAGAGCTGTTACCTTTTAGAAGAGGTATTACAAATTGTAATTTGTTAGAAACTTTTTAGATTAGGGTCTAAGTTTCAAACCAGTCTCACACCTTTCTGGGTTGTTGATCAGATCCTTCTCTTAATAGAAAGAGACCCACCACAGTCACCAACATTACACTCAGTAAAACCCACAGCACCTAGAAACTAACCTCGTCATCCTCTCACACTGTGAATATTCAGTTCAGTTTCCATGTTACTGAAAAGTTGCAGAACCTCTTTTTAGAAAAACCAGCCAGCCACATCTTTTTTCATTGCTTAATTATTGCGCCCTGTTCCCCACTGCTCACCAAAATGTGCTCAGTCTTATGAGAGAAAGACTGTACTCAGTAGCTGTGCACTTCCCATAGTTTAATTCTTCCCCAAGAAGAATCCCTCCCATTGGTTGACAGTGATCTCAAAAGAATAGATAACTTTCAGGCTTTCTCTTATCACCGAGAACCTTTCTGCTCTGGGAGTTCACAAGGTTCTTACGTGCATCTCTAGAAATAGAAGCATTGTGACCCTCTAGCTATAGCCTAAACTAAGCCTGTGTCTGACCCTGTGGTCAGGTTCAGAAGCCAGCAGAGGGAGCAGCATACTTAAAAGATAATAATAATAAAAAAAATAGAAGCAAAATAAAAGCAGCTTTAATTTCAAGTGCATGTATCAAGCTGTGTATAACAATATATCCCACTCGCTAGTATTATCAAGAAGTTTCACATTATTTCCATGGATCAATTAGAACCACAGCCTGTCCAATTTCAACGTGCTTTTTAATTCTTCTGTATTCTCTTTCCTGTTACTCATTGTGTGTGTTTGTGTGTAACAAAGAATGTTTGCAAAATGCTGGACACATTTTTACCCTTCATTCCCACAGTCTGTAAAAAAAGGAAAGTGTAAAACTAATCTGTAATGTCAGACAATAAAGACAATGTATTACATTATTTTGTATTTTGTGAAAAAAATTACTTTACTAAAGTCAAATTTTAATGAGAGACAGTGCCCCTGGGTGAAGGACACACATCTCGAGCCTGTATCGTTGCCCATAAATGCATACTTGGGGGTTGCTGTCGTACTCCTGCCACACTAAGGTCATGACAGAGAAAAATGCCTGGCTGTGTTGCTTCTCTTTGCAAATGGCCTCTTTTCTTTCCTGTCTCTAACTTAGCATGTGCACAGAAATATGAAATAAGGCTCAAATAGAACTTTCCTCCTTCTAGTGGAGAGAGAGAGCAATCATTCTGTAGTCAGTCAGCCTTGCTTGAACCAGTTCCCTCAGGGACCCCTTCTCTACCATTTCCCAGGCAATGCATTCTTGAAAGGCTCGGTGGATCAGGAGGTTCAGAAACCAATGGATGCCTAGAGCCAGCGAGCTCATAAACAGATGGATGCATAGGAAGCTTATAAACTGATGGATGCATAGAGCTAGGAAGTTCATAAACAGATGGATGCATAGAGCCAAACCATGGCAGTGCCCATAAGAGCATTACTGCCTCCTTTCCTTCCAGCTCCTCCCCACTGAGCCCTCGATAGCCACTGCATCTTTGAAAGTTGGCCAGCATGGTACTGCTCCATGCGTACTTAAGGGCCGTTATTGGTGACTCCCAGATATCAGCAATGCATTGTCTGGGTGGGGAGAGGTTTACCTGTCTTATTTATTTATTTGCTTTTGTACCCAAGCCTCTTTTCATAAAGGACTCAAGGCAGCTTACAACAAAAAGACATAAACAATGACTTCATAAAATAGAAATAGAAAAATCAAAAATAAAGAAAAGAAACTGCAAAGATGCTAATCATAAGGGACAAGGATGTTACTCTGAGCTTTCTGGCAATGAGTCAAAAAAAGGAAAATGTAATTGGTGGTTTTATCAAAACAGAAATACTTGTTCTCAGAGGACCAAAATTTCTCTTGGCATAAAATATAAAAAGAAAGTCTTCACTTGGAGCTTTATAGGAGTACTGAATAATGAAATGGACAAATGCAGTAGTAGATGTCATGTGGCTGATTCTTAAACTGACCTTCAGTCAAAACTGAAGACAAACCCCGTTATGTCCCAATCCTGTAGAGGCAGAGCCACAAGGAAATAAACAAACGCCGTCCAAATTTATAGACTTCTCGTGGTATAACATGATCTAAGGAGAGAATTTAGAGGTTTTAGTCTGGCATCTGCTTCTAAATTCCGTTTTTATTTATGAGCCTTTCCCCTTTGGGGACATTCTCTTTGTAAAATCAGATTTAAGACATGGCACACAACAAATTGTGCTTGATTTAATAACCTCTACTTGCTTTATCATAAGTCTGTGTGGTTCAATGTATTTTATTACTGGTATATATAATTCCTACTTATACTGTTTCTTGTTAGAGGTAATGCATGAATTTATCCCCCTGGAGGAGAGAACATGAATTTTTTTAAAAAAAAAAAATAGTGCCTGTAATATAATATGATGATTATGGTATCATAAGCAATAAATTTTTTTTTACAAAACTCGAATCGAAATTATCCTACCCTCTTTCTTCTTTGTCTATTTTTAAAATTTATTGAAGGAACCATAAAAAGAACACTCGTAAAAACTTTGATAATGAAGGTGGCTGGGGTATAATTGCAATGATGGTATGTTTCAGGGTTTCTGGTATACTTCCAGTTCCAAATATGTCTCAATCTAAAACCAAGTATCCTGACTTTGAGTTCAGAAAGTACGGTCTCAATAATAATTTTCTTAGAAAGATGACTGGAGTTAGACCTGAATTATAGTGGCCCCAGCTCTTCGCTCACAGCTGTAAGATCTTGAGTGTCAATTAACTTCCTGGTAATTTATTTCAAACATACCGATAATACATCACTCACAGAGTTGTTGTATGGATTTTAAAAGATAATGGATGTGAAAGCACTTTGTAAATTATTATATGCACCTCAAGTATGAGTATGAAGGTATGTATATATGTATACACATACACACAAGAAAATTTAAACTTTGGTAATTTGACCCATATTTTACATGCACACACACACGCACACACATTCACTTCTCTTCCTTCTGCTTAACTAACAGAGTCAGGTCAGGGGAAGAAAGTCAAATATCATTCCAGTTGCATCTCCTGCCCCTATTCTCTTCTCTATTTACAGCTGGATGACCCAATTAACTCAGGAAGTCATATTCATTCAGGTTCCTACTTCTTCCAAACGCGCTGTAGAATATGAACAGGCCCGAAATGACACATTTTACCAGCTTACGTTCACCTCCGTTTATATCCCCTGCTCATCGTCTCTGGCGGATGTTCTGTGGAGTAGTGGAGCAATCAAAATGAGGGGGAGATGATTCACACCATAAAGAACTGCAATATTGGGACTAACAGCGAGTGTTCAAAAACATACCCTCCCAGACTCTGTCACATCCTTTTTTAAAAGTAAAGGTTGGTTAATTAATTCTAGAAAAATAAAAATTATTTCTCTGCTTAAAAACCTTGGAAGATGACCACCTAGTTCAGGATAAAGGCCAGCCCCCTTTATGACACCGGAAGCCCCCCAAACTGGCTCTTCCCCTTCCCGGCTTCAGGCCCCTCCACTCCCCACAGGGAGCCTGGTGCTTCATCCACACTGCGCCGCCCCCACCACCACCTTTTCTGCAATACCACCCCCCCCCCCAACTTCCCATGCCTTACACGTGGTGCTCCAAGGCTTGGAATGCTCTTTTCTCCTCCCCCTGCTTCCTCTTTTCTGCCTCGAAATCTCTGCTATTAAGACTCAAGTCGAATGGTGCCTCCGGCCTGAGCAGTCAGAATTAGTCGCCTCATGCACATCCCTACAACACTTAGGCCACCACAATCCCTGTGATGATAGTCAGTGAATGTATACTGAAAACAGGATGAAAAGATGATTGAATGTAGCTCACTAAACGTTGCTTTGCTGCATCTTCCCAGGCTGCCAGGTAAAATCAGGCCTGTCTAGGCTGCATTCTCAGCCAAACCTGAGAGGCAGACCCTTTGGTTCCAGGGGAGGGAGTGCGTAAGGCCACCCACGCATGTCTCTTGGTCATCTGCTCTGCCGTTTCGCCAGGGTGTGCCGGTTCAGCAAATAGACATTTGGTCCTTTTCCTTGAAGCATTTCTCCTGTCTGGTGCTGAGTGGAAACCAAAATGCTTCCTGGAAAAAATCAGAAAATTTATGGATCTTGTCAGACTTTTTAAAAATTGATACAACAGCAGCTTGAGTGGACTCAGTGAATGGAGTGGAGAAATGAATTTTTCATTTATTCTCTAGGAAGAGAGCTATTTTAAATTTGCCAAGGATGATATATGCTTTCCTTCTTCCATAAATCAACTCTCTTCTCAGGAATTTTAGATCTATATATTGATCTGCATGGACCATTGTCCCTTAAGTCTTTGCTCCGTTAATCGAGTAATTTCCAGGAAAGGGTGTTCACAGAGAGTATTCACTCTAGCCCTTCTAAAGTTGTTCGCAGTCATGCTTTGTGACCAGGCCAGAGACCACCATTCTACAGGGCCCACTACCTGTGAAAATGAAACTCAGTGATCTCTCCACTGATGTGACCCAATGCCAAGGGCGACTGCCTTTTCTTAGTGGCCCTACAAGGACAAAACAGAACAGAGATGGAGTTCCCAGCAGTAGGTCCTAGGAAGGTACTATGCATCAAACTGGACAGTGTCCTGACAAAGAGAGATGGGGCCACGATTGCCCAGGGAACCAAGGTTCTACCCCCAAATGTCTGGGTAAAGACTGGACATGACTTGAGAGTTGTGAATTGCAGGAAAGATGCAACTGGATCTTTTCTTCAGTACAGAATCTTCCACCCAAATTCTTCACATAATCCGACTGCTTGAAATGGCACCAATTAGAGATTCATTTAGGAGATGGTAGCTATTAGTCAGTCACACGTTGGTGTAACTTAGATTCAATCAATTGTTTTTCCCTTAACTCCTAACTACAGTCGATTATTTTTCTCTTGACAAAACTACTAATAGGAGTTTTGAAGAAAATAAAGAGGCAGAAAGGAGTAGGAAAAGTTGGCTTCGGATACCAGGCATTAAGCTGGGAGAGGTAGGGCTGGGAATGCCTCAGACAAACACAGTTAGCAGGAGAGCTCAGAGCGTGAGGAGGAGAGAGCATTGCCAGGAGGTAAGAGACGCACAGAAAGGAGGGTTAGGAGGGCCAGGTTTAGTGTCCAGAGGGCAGGGGGCCAGCCTCACAAGCACCACATACTGGAGAGCATGAACAGGTGCAAGCAGGGCTGATGTGCAAGACAGCCCCAGGCAGCCATTAGAATATTGAAATGCAATATTTCAATGCACAGCCCCATATCTGAAGTTGCTGGGTCCAGACATGTTCCAGAATTCAGAATATTTCAAGTTCTAGAAATGCAGTACAATGCAGGTACCGTACGTTGCTTCCCATCAGTTATGAAATACCATGAGTTGCTTTTGGGATGTGAGATTTGCAGATGAGAGATTGTGGGCCTGTGTTTCTGTCCTGATTGAGAAGCAGCCCAAAAGCTCTTCTGCCCTTCTGGGCACTCACAGTGCTCCCCTCAACCCAGCAACTAAAAGGTGTTGCCTGGCCCAGCAGGAAGCCCAGGCTGCTGCTCCAACACTGCTCACTTCTGGATCCATGCCCGGCATCTTCTCAGCTTTCAGGTTGCTAGATCTTTCTATGCTTAGTGGAGCACAGATGGAAGCATGTGATGGTTGGTCCCAGTGCCCAGCATCCTGAGACGCAGCTGTGGTGCCGTGGGAAAGCCCTGGGCTTGTAGACTAAAGGCTGGGGATCCATTCTATCTGTGCCATTCACGAGCTCAGAGACCTTGGGTAACCCAGTTATCCCATCTGAGCCTAGTTTGCTAATCCGAAAAATGGGAATAATAATAATAATACCTCATATGTTTGTTAGGAGGACTAAGTGAAGTAGTTGGGATGAAAGTGCCTTATAGACTGCAAATTTCTCTTCACATGTAATCTACTATCATTCCTAGCACTGATTATTAGGAGGATGAAATAAAAATGTATGTAAAAGTGATGTCTACACTGTAAATTACATACAAAAGTGGAGTTGCATTATTATTGTGAGCCTCCCACCACGGAGGAAGATCTGGCTTCCCAGGATTAAGAGGGTAACTCACGCTGTGTGGCCAAGAGCCTTCTTCCTTCAACTCCTCTGTCCCGTTTCCCATCTCCAGTCCCTCCTCCCTGCCGCAAGTGGTTCCTTGGTAAAGGGGACAGATAAGAAAGGACAAGGAGCCCTACTGTGGGCTCTGCCTTGAAAAGGATGCATAGGAGGGCTTGCAAGGGGAAGGCAGCCCTCAGAGCACCTGACCAACATCTGTCTCCTTTGAGGGACCTTCCACCAACCATAGCCCATCCATGTCCCCACAGCCCAGGGCAGTCAAAGCACCTGGGCTCAGACACCAGCCCAGTCCCTCCATCTCCATCTCCTGAGCAATTCTTTTCACCTCTCTGAGCACTGAGATCGAGTAATGATACCTGCTTCAATGGGTCGTGGAGAGAAATCAGTGAGGATGTACGTGAAAACCCTTCCTACATGGCAAAGCATGACTCCAACGTGAAGTCATTTATTTTGGCATGGGAAGCAGGGGGATGCCATGGTAGCTCAAAAGCAGAGGTTTCCTGGTAATGAAACTGAGATGCCAAAGTCTGCTGGGGAGAACCCGACCCCTCCTTGAGCGGGCTGGGGCGAGCAGGCTGCAAACCATCGCAAGCAGGCAAAGGTCTCTTCCCTGGGCCCGGACAGACCAATACAAGGTACCGTGGAGAGTGAACGAGTGGAAGCCTCAGCCCTTTGGGCATCACGGGAGTTATTTTCTGTGCTCTGTTCTGTTTTGCTTCATTTTTAATTCTGGACTTTTCTCAATTTGTAGATTTGACTTTTATGTGTGATGCCGAGCCCTGGAAAGCTAACAGCATGACATTTTACAGGATTGATGTTGTGTGTTTTAACGGCAAGCAGCTGAACCACAGAAAAGATCTAAATTGAATATCCCAGAGCCTGACTCTTGTGGTGCATGTCTCGGGGTTTGAATGGGGTGATGGCGAATCTCTGGGCCTTGCTGTGGAATAGTCCTCACTCTCCCTGGCCAGACCCAACATGGAATGGAATTTATGTGAACGCCTAATCTGTTGTGTATGCACTTGAGGGTCTCGCTGCATTTTCTTACTTGTGTGTGACTGACTTCCTTTGTAAACTAATTATTATAACAGAAAAGACATTTCCAAGAGATCTCATTGCAGAGACAAAACCGCGAAATTCCAGGTGTGACAGTCTCAGAACACTTTCATGCTGAGGACCGTGGTGCAGAGATACGGGGTTTTCCGTTGTTTTCTGCTTTTTTCTTTACTCCTTTTTAAATGCCACTATTCTTACTGTCCTGCTAGACTACTGCTTTTTCATAGGTGAAGAGAAGGATATTTCCTCCAGGAAACAAGCCAGAAATTAGAAACCAAGATTTCTTTTTTCCCTTCCCCATTTGAAACCCCGAATCACAGAGCAATTTGGCGAAGTCAACTTTTACTGTAAAATAGGGACGAAACAATTCACGCTTCATCTGAGTCTTAATTTGAGACTTAATGTGCATATTATTGCATGACATGATTTGAACTGTGAATTATCCTCTAGAGACGATGCCAGGACAGATAGGTTGAAAATTTAGGAAGCGCATAAACCAGATCCATCCTAAAGAGCCTCCTAGCTTATATTTAAAACTTTCTCCTTAATGTCCTTTTATTCTTAATGTCCATAGAACTTCCTTCAAGGAGAAAACAGACGCCCCTTGTTGTTGTCCCTGCTTCATAGTAGCTGCATTACGTGGGCACACATCTCCAATATTATAGAACAATGCTGTACTAATGTTTTTAGCTTTCAATATGTAACCAAAACTTCAGATGATAGACAATAAGATTTTAAATTATCTGCAGCTGCAGCTCAGGTTTAGAATCTCCAAATCAATGACCTAGGATTTCCTCCTGCTTTGGAATTTCATTGTTACTGTTTTTAACCTTTGACTGAGGCCTTGGGGATGGCATTTGGCGTTTTCTTGGGAAAACAAATTAATGACTTGCATTGTCTCTCCAGACCCAGGGGGCAGGTTCTCCTCGCTCCTCCCCCAGCCACACCATCAGCAGGCCCATCCCCATGCCCGTGCGGTCTGCGTCGGCCTGTTCCACCCCGACGCACACGCCACAGGACTCCCTCACTGGGGTAGGGGGAGACGTACAGGAGGCGTTTGCACAAAGTAAGTGCCTTTGCTTTCTGTTGTGTTCTGCTTTTACATGACAAATAAGTCCCCACGGTCTATGAGCAGTTTAGAGTTGTCAGAGCCACACCATGGACATTCTAGTGTCCCAGCCTGGCCTGCAAGCTGTTTTAGAAACTCCCAAGGCTAATCTGTTCCTCACTCACCATCTTTCCTTTGGCTTCTAGCGCCCTACCTCATTTTTTCTCTTTGCTCATTAGGACGAGAAATTCTTTCCCTAATATCCCAGGAAACTTTATAAATGCAATCCATTTTAAAATTCTGAAAGATCTTATTTCCTGCTTTCTTCTCTTTACATTAAAACAAATTCAACACTGAGATTAAACCATCCCACCTCTTTAGCCCCGAGGTGCTCAAGAAGGATATTTAGTCATTTTACAGATGCCCTACAGAGTTGAATCATTGCCTCTGTAATATGGGGCTATGAGGTTAGGCCTCTGTAGTTAATAGAGGAGTGCAAAGAGTGATGTGAGATGACAAACGGCATTCTTCCACCAGCTGCCTCTTCCATTGACACACTGCCAGGGCTTGTCCCAAGGCAAGTGATTTTATTCATTTGGAAATATGTTAACGCTTTTTAAAACTTTTTCTTGCCATGACTTTTTAAATTTATAGAAAGTTAGGGGAAAAAAATCCTCCTGTGGACCCTTACTCTGCCGATCTTGTTCCTAGAAGTAAACACTATTAACAGATTGGCCCTTCCCAACTTTTTGCTTCTATATAAATATGTATGTTTAAGTGTGTGTTTATAGACACATACGCTTCTGTTTTCGCACAAATAAGATCATGCAGTGTGTTTTGGTCTGCAATTTGCATTTTCTTTAAATTAGCAATTTATCCTGAACATACTTCCAGGTCCTCACATGTCTAAGGAAAAGAGAGACATATCTGACTGGTAGTTTTAAGCCGAAAGGAAACACAAACAAAGTCAAAAGGCAAAAAATAGACTTGAGGAAACCATTTTCAGCATATATGGCAATCAAGTGTCATAATTTCAGTTATGCATAAAGCCCAGAGGATCAGCAAGAAAAAGACATCCTCCAAACAGAAATAGATGAAGGATATGAACACACAGAAGGAAAAATAGAAATTGCCAATAAAGCTATGAAAAGATGTTTAACCTCACAACTACTCGTAGAAATGCAAATTTTAATAAATGTCACCTTTTGCCTAGAAGAATCAAAAAAAAAAGTTTTTCACATCAGTAATATCCAGGGATGGCGATAGTGTAAGGAAATAGACACTCTCACCCATCATGTAGGGGGATAAAATGTTAGCACAGTTTAAAAAGAGAGAGAATGTCAGGCTGTTCTGAAGAAACAGGAAGATCCATAACAGGGCTTTTTCTTCTAAGTGCTGAATATAATTCAAGTTATACAAATAACTTTCCTTTTTTAATTTTTAGGAGGAAAAATGTCCTTTCCCTAAATCACATTTTAAAGAAATTCACAGTATTTTAAATCAACTTGAGCTTTCTATTATAATTAATGCTTTTATCTAACTACTTTGATTTTTTTAATTTACTTGTATTTATTATTTGACTTATTTAGTATTACTTTCTGAGAAATAACAGGATGAAATGTGGCCTAGAGGCAGCCCCTAGCTCATAAAAGGCTCTTGCTACATAAGTTGGTCTATAAGTCAAGTATTTGGAATCTTGAACCCTTTTTTTCCAAAGATATGGTAATTAGTGCTCTGTTCCATTTCTACCTTGCCCTACTCCCAGACCAGCCCACAAATACCCATTTAACCCTTAATATGCCCAAAACATTATAATAATCTTTCTCTACCATAGACAAACATGGTCTAAGTTCAAATTCAGGGTACCAGACACACATCTGCCCAGATCTTGGGAGCAGGAACAAGAATCCTTGCCCCATTTCCACACTCTGGAGGCATTCAGTGCACAGGGTTCCTATTCCCAAGAGGTCGCTGTAATGGCAGGGGGCGCTCTGGGAGCCCTGATGAGAAACAGAAGCCGTGTGATGGAGATCAGTGCGCTCAGCTGTCAGGTAATGGCTGACATGATAGCTTCAGCTAGGAAAGCACAGCTTTCCTGGCAAAACCAGACTTTTTATCTGGGTGGCTTATTTTTAAGAAGAGTGACCACACATACTGGTTTACCTGGAACCATCCCAGCTTGTGCGGGGTCAGCCAGTCTTATTAATTCCGCCTCCTTTCACTTGCAAAATTGTCCCAATTTGGACAATAAATTATATGCACACCCATCTGCTGCCATGTCTTCTTAGATCAGAAGCCGCTGCCCCAAGCACAATGTATTTTTTCAGGAAATGAACCAAAGCACTTCTGAAAAGGAGAAGCCTTAGAAGTCTTGCTTTAGGATACCAATGGAAGTGATAAACAAACGGTATGGAAATTTGGAAAAAAGGAAAAGCTTCGATTTTTTTAATTATCATTTCTTCTTCACTTAAGGTTCAAGAAGAAATTTAAGGAATGATTTACTAGTGGCAGCAGATTCCATCACTAACACCATGTCCTCTCTCGTGAAAGAGCTGAATTCCGGTGAGTTCCTGGTCCCCTCATTTGTCTGCTCATTGCAGAGGGACCGTCAGTGCTAGGGGGTCTCTGTTAGAGATCTGCTCATCACCTGATACTAAAAGATTTTTTAAAGATCTGTCGATATTTTGTTGGTATATTCATATTTTTTAGTAATATTTATATTTTGCTGATGAGAAGACTATTAATAGATGCTCAATACAGAAACTTTGAAAAATGCAGAAAAGAATAAAGAAAAATATTAAAACTGACTTATATTCTAGATCCAAAAGATAGCCACTGTTAGCATGTACCATGATCCAAAGTGACATGATGCTGAAGTTGTCATGTAAGGTGAGGTGTTTTATTTACTAATTTAGACTCTCTTAATTTGGAATGCACGGCTATTTGAATGAGGCTAAACTGAAGTTTACCTTCACAATATCTCTAAGGAAAGATCTTCCCAGAAAATAAATAGCATGAAATTGTGAGAGAATCTTTATCCTAAGAATACTACGTAGAGTTTTAAAACCTTAAATCAATGAATAGGCAAATAAATATCTTACCAGTTACTAATACATCTCACCTGTTCCTTATAGCCCATCTACCAAGATATTTGTCAGCAGGACAGTGTCATACCATTGAGATTCCAACAACTATAAGAAATAAAACCTCAATATTAAAAAAAAAAATCCGGATTTAAATTTCTTAAAGCCTCTATAATAAGAATTAAAATAATGAAAATTGTTGCTGCTATTTTAGATTAAGATTACCAAATAGGATAAAAATGACAGGAGTTCACACATCGTGATTAATGGCAAGTACCTACTGCCCTAGCAAATGACGACAAAAAAACATTATTCTTACTGTGCAAGTCTCAAGTACTATTAGTTTATATTCTTATAATACTTTGAAATATTAAGTGAATGTAATATTTTAGGTTTGTATTTCCTAAAGTAAAGTAATATTAAGCAAAAGTAACAACATTTTAATGAAGACTTTTACAGAGGGGAAAAACAGAAGATTTAAGAAATTAAGTCAGTTACTAAGACACAAAAATTCCTTGTAGCATTATTGAGATAAAAAGACAAAACTGTATACCAAATGATACATAGTAATTCATAAAACTAACGAATAAAACTAATGAGAACTAATGATAAAACTAATGAATTTATAGTAATTCATGTAGGTATCAATTCTCCTTTTGAGAAAAATAAACACTTCTTGCCTTGTGTGCAATAACTGGTTAATGTTTTATACAGGACAGATTGGTCTATATTAAGCCTGGACCTTTATTTGCTGATCATGAAAAGGCTAAGTCATGGCCCAGTGGCATAGTGGTTAAGTTTGCACACTCCATTTCTGTGGCCTGGAGTTCGAGGGTTCACAGGTTCACAGGTTTGGATCCTGGGTGTGGACCTACACACCACTCATGAAGCCATGCTGCAGTGGCGTCCCACATACAAAATAGAGGAAAATTGGCACAGATGTTAGCTCAGCGACAATCTTCCTCAAGCAAAAAGAGGAGCAAACGAAAAAACAACCAACCAAAAAGAACACAATACAAATAGGAAAAAAAAAAAAAAGCTAAGTCATTCTTTATTTCTTCAATTGTACCTAATAGAGGCAGGGAGTGAAAGCGAGAGTAATGTGGATTCTGAATTTGCACGGACTCAGTTTGAGGATCTGGTTCCATCACCAACCTCTGAAAAGGCTTTTCTAGCACAAATCCATGCCCGAAAACCTGGGTATCTTCACAGTGGAGCCACCCCGAGCACCATGCGTAGTGACATGTGAGTATCTTCTGCTTGGGGGTATTTTCTCAGTAAGAGAACACTCTGCAGGGAGAATGGGAAGACAAAAACATGGTTGCTTAGTTCTCTATTTTGGAAAGGGTTGATGCAGTTTCCTTTTCTGCCAGAAGAGGTAGAAGAGACCTACATTCAAATCTGGCATTGTGACTCCCCCTCTCAAAATTTCCAGAGAGTATCCATAACCAAAACCAGCCAGTACTTATTGAGAGCCTGGCTCGCCCAAGGCACTGTGCTAATTGTGTACAAAATAGTATCAAAAATTTCTCCCAGCCTTCCAGGACTCACAGGCTAGTACAAGAAATAAGTCATCCTATCTTCTGAATTTGCTGTATTTGTTCTTAGCGGAGCTGGTGATGCTGGAAAGGCTTCTGTTCAGAATGGGCATAAACATCATATAAGCGTTTGGAATTGAAATAAGTAAATGTAGAAAACCTCATTATAAAGAAATCCAATTTGGTCAACTTGTTGAATATGTATAAATTTGATCCTCAAAAGACATTTGGCAAAGGTTTTCCCCCAGTTAGGTTTCTGTGGCTTGACAGGAGCCAGCAGAATCAGGGACGTCCCCACTAGACTTTCTGGGACCCTGGGTCAGCTCAAAGGAGTCAGGCAGAGGAAACCAAAGCTGAGAAACTAAGGCAAAGCTGGGAGAGACCTGCCGAGCCCAGCTTGAGAGGGAAAGGAGGAAACGAAGGGAATGAAGCAAGTGGGCCGTCGGGAGAGCAAGGCTCAGGGGATGTGAGAACTGTGTGCACAGGCTCATCGAAAGGCTGGGAAAGGGAATTGCCGAACATTAGAAAAAGTACAGGAGGGCGATGGTGCTTAATGCGTAAAGTACTGCAGACTAGTCTACAAAAATAAACTGGCTGTTTTAAAGACCCAGAGAAGAAACTAACCAGACGCCTTTCTGGTGTTTTGGCTCCCAATCCAAGCAGTGAGTAAAAGACCAGTAATAATGGGGAATTATAAATAGACGTGGTTTGAAAGCCAGCTGTGAAAAGGCAGAGCGTAAGATCAAAACAAAACAGAGGGTCGTTTAAAATGGCTGTAGGCTGCTGCTTTCCATTTTAGTTTGCTTTCTTGTCCTTTCCTGTATAATTTAGAATTATTTTATTTGTTTATTATTCAAAATGTGAACTAATTGTCATCAGTCTAGTCTGGTAAATGCATATCTATTTGACTTTTTGTATTTAAGCATTTACGTGGCAGTTACCTAAAATTTCCTTGTTTCAAGCCTAAGACCCAAGACTAGCTAAAGCCACCCCACTCTGCTGTGCCTGGAATGCTGGTGGCAGTACCAGCCACCAACACGGCTGCAGGAGCTGGGGAGGGGAAGTTCATAGAGGCCTCGCAGACCTATTTAGACTGGCCCCAAACCTCTAAAAATAACAAGAACATGTCGTCCAGATATAAATAAACATGAACAATGGCATCTAAGTTTCAACCCAGGAACTTCTACTTGACCACTCTTTTCATTTTAGGTGATATTTTAATATCCATACTGTCTAAACATGTACTGTCTTTTACCCTGAGAATATTTTAGTCATACGATTTAGGTAGTGAATTTATGTTTAGTCCCTGGAAGAGCTTTATATATACTGAGATGAATAGTTGGAGACGGAGTGACACGTTGGTGACTGAGGTCATTTTTAACTATTTATTTCATAGTAGAATTGGACAATTTAAATAGATTTCTTAGATTTAGAGCTAGTGTAAACTTTTAAGAGCTGTGGGTTAGAGTGTTAGCCTTCCTGACATCAATTAGCTGATATTCTGAGACTTGATTTTGCTATAAAAATAAAGCACATGGGTGCACGTGCCTACAAACATGCAAAGAGGATTAAATTATGAACAAATGTCCTTAATCATTATTTCACTAGAGGGCTCACTTTCCTTATAGAAAGTCTTCCTAGATTCCATTAAAAAAAAAGCCCCCAGATCAGGAAAACTGATATATCCTCTCAAAAGGCAAGCCTGCCTTCTTTAAGACTGATGAACATTTAAAGTGCAACTCATTGCTGTAAAACCTAGAAAAACATAGATAACCAATGATGACCAGACTGCCATAGAAAACATGCCTATGGGAATACCTTGATCATGTATTTCTCCACACTTGCAAAATTTTTTTTAAAGTGTTCTTTTAGGTAAAAGAAGACACTGAATTGAAGTGAATTGAAGCGAAGAACTGAATTGGAGGACTAAGTAAATGTGCCAAGAAAACTACAACTAACAGATAAATTCCACTCATACTTTCAAGATTTACTCCAAAACGCCATCTATGGTTTATTCCCAGGGTTACAGAAGATGGGGATCCCTATGTGCAGCCAGAGGATGAGAACTATGAAAATGACTCAGTCCGGCAGCTGGAGAATGAGCTCAAGATGGAGGAATACCTGAAGCAGAAGCTGCAGGATGAAGCCTATCAGGTAGATGGAGCCAGGCCCACAACACCCATCACTTGTGCCTCAGCCCCTCAGTGGCTGGGTCTTTTCCATTACTCAAAAAACCGATGGCTTCTCCTTCCTTCCACTCTCCCTTTCTGGAATATTCTGATTGCATTCCCTAGTCCATGTATTCTAGACAGTAAACATTTTAAGTACTTCTTAGAGCTGTCACTCACCACATATTCTTATAAATTCGGACCTGGAAAGTGAGAAGAGGCCATGTCACATTAGCAGAAACATGGTGACTAACAGTCCATCCTCCTCCAAGATCATTAGGGAAGATGCCTCTTCTCATAGATTAAAAAGATATATATACAGAGAACTAAGCACAAGGAAATTGAATAAGCATAAATATATCTCCTCCCTTGAATCATTCGTCCTCAGCCTCCCTCACTGCCTGCCTCATGTCAAATATAAATAAGCAAGGGAGTGACAGACTTCACGAAAAAATGTTGGGGGAACTGTGGGGCTGTGTTCAGCAGGGTGTGGATGGACAGACTGTCCTATATACTGGAGCATATGAATCCATCTGAGAATTCACTGAACATAACACATGCAATTGGAAATCCGTGTGACTGGTAACTCATCCTAAAGGGGATGCATTTTCCCCATGGAGATTGCTCTAAGCCTTGTTTGTCTGTCTTGTGTTTCCCTTACCTGTAATCCACAGGGGCTTTCTGGCAGTTTGGGAGTTCAGGGATGTTTGCCTGGTTGAGACCTGCTGCCCCCTAAGTCCCAGAGGGTTATTCGATCACATCAGGCTGTCTGTCCAGTGGCCAGGCAAGCTTTTTCCACATCCTTAGGTCAGCAGTGGCCCTCTCTTACCCTGTTAGTGAAGGAAAGAGGAGCAGAGAGAACAAATTATCTTCTACTTTTCATGTGTTTATAGATTAAGTTTTGAAATATTTTCCCGAGAAGAATGTAGCAAGAGGGAAATGGAAGCCCAGCAACCCGCCCCCCTACAATATGAAACAAAAGTTTTGCCTCTTTGAAGACAAATGTTCCATTAGCCATTTTTGGTTTAACATCCACATTTCAGAAGCAACTAAAATGTCAGCCTAGTCATATTAAAAAAAAAAAAAAAACAGTGACTATATATATAAAGCCTTCAACGCTATGGAAACAGTCAACGTCGCCTGAAGCACAGACCCATGGAGAGGGCTCTTTCTTTTGTGACTTCCATGGCCCGTCCGTGGAAGGAAATTCTCCTGGATAAGCCGCCAGGGTCTCTCCAGGAACTCTGAGGGCTGGCGTTCCTACATGTATCTCAGTTGGTTCTGCTGCACAGAGGGAGAGAGAGATGTGGTTAAGTAATCAATGTTCTGGGTCACGCTGGAAGTGGCGCCTGTCAGGCCTCAATATTTGAGCTCATATCAGTGTCCAGATTTTGGTGACAAAAGTAACTGAAATCTAGTTTTAAAAAAAAAGGGCAGCCATTCCATATAAAACATTAGATTTTTATTTATTTTAGTGGATTAGGAATTTAACCTTATATGAGTAAAATGAAGGAAAATTCTGTTAATAGCTTAAGATCCAATTGGAGCTTTTGCCATCTCTGGTAAATCTTAAGCTCCTTCTCTCTCTCTCCTTTCCTTTCTGTGCCCAGTGACTTCAAGGGAAAGGCAAAGAAAAGGGCCGGGAGGATATAAGCGGCCTGGGTGTCCACTCAAGACATATGCCCTGGAGAAGGGGGAAGTGGTTTTCCTTGACTGCTCTGTGAGCGTAGGGTTGTTCGATGGATCAGAAGGCTACTTTCATTCATTGGACACACTCTTTCTCTCCCTCTCTCTGTCTTTGTGCATGGCTTCCAACCAAATAATTCACCAGCTTGACTGCATCACAGACTTGACATGTCACCTTTCTTGTTTGTGTCCTTTGTCACCCGCAGGTCAGCTTGCAAGGTTGAATACAAAATCCTTTTATCACTCTCCTCTCAAGTAAGTACCCTCTAATTTAGGAGGAAACGTGGCCACTGTACACTGAATTCTGATAACTTGTAACCTAAATTCACCATCACTCTCTCTTAGGTGTTTCTCTGTGATAAAATATCCTCCTTCCGCTGATATCAAAGAATCATCTCGGTCTTGGAGCATTTCATTATAATCCAGTGGAGATTTGGCAGACAACCTTGGGGGTTGACTTTTTACTCTGTTAATTAGGAAAATTGGCACTGAAACTTCTGTAACACCAGAGATGCCCCAGAAATCTTCTGTGGCTGTGAAACCACATTACCAATCCATAACAGCTCCAAGTTTGCAGCCTCTCTGTCACTTGAGAAGGAAAAGTCCAGGCTTGCTCAGCATTTCCAGAGATGGGTCTGCTCCTTAGTAATGCTGTACTCAGGGCCCAAAAGATCCCATGTGTGTGCCTTCACAAGTGAAAGCAAAACCGCGTATTATTAAAGAAAACAAAAGAAGCAAAACAGAGGAAAACTTCTGCAGCCTTATACTTTTGGAATAGCTGCTTCAAATCAATTGTGGAATTCAGCAAGATATAACTTCATTTAAAATATCATTTACGTGGCTTGAGATCCACCCCCACCGCCACCAAGGATCTCCCTAAATACGTGGGAAAACCTCAGTAATTTTTTCACGAAGGGAGAATGGCACTTGACTGGCGGGATCACTTGAGTGTACCGGTTTGAAGGTCAGACCCTGGACTCTAACAGACCTGATTTCAAATAAGAGTTTCACCAAATGCTGGCAGCATAACCTTGGACAAATTATTAAACCTCTATGGGCCTCCGTCCTCTGTGTACAACATATATCATAACACCTGCTTCATAGAGGAGTTGTCCTCCCTGGGATATAATTTGTAAAGAGCTTAACAGAGTGGCAGACACGTTATAATTTTGTTAGGAGCACACACTTCCATGCCTGGCACTATGCTCGGTACTTTACAAGCTATTCAATCCTGGGGAGCTGCTATAGTTATCATGTAAGTGTATGGGAACCCCCGGGACTCAGGACTGGCTTGCTCCCTCTGTTTTTATCAACAAGGCTAGGACTTAGATGTGTTCAATGATTTGATACACCGTAAGTCTAGATGGTTTCTCTGGCTCCAGCTAATGGCCACTTAGATGTCCCCCAGTAGACTTCAAAGTTAATACACCTTTCACAGTGTTCTGGCTACACAGGCCCAAGAACTTGTATCTCCTTTAGCTATATAGTCTTTCCCAACCATGGAATCCCATAAGTCTATAGTGCAGTTGATGGTAAACTCAACTCTGGCTGCTAATTGAAAAAAGGATGTATATCTCCTAAACGACATAACAATTAGTAAAGAGTACATTCTAGCTCAAACACTGCTGGCCTCTTGTCTCAGTCCTGAGGTTAAGACCAAGCAAGTAAATATCCTGGCATAATTGCTATTATGAAATATACTTTATGGGCAATGAGGCCTTTTTAGTGTGAAAGGATGGGTCTTATTGACTGAGTTCTGTTTTTCTTCCCTTGGATTTGAGATGCCTCCCACATGCTCTCCTGGTTCATTATGACTACAATGAAAAAAGTCCCAGGAGCTGTTTCTGAAAATATTCACTCCAGTTATAACAAACCTGGTCCCAAAGGAGCAAGCCTTTTCCTTTAATAGCATTTTCTTTCTCTTAGCTCCAACAATTTGATCATTTTTTTTTGTTCTGCACATTATTTAAACATTAGTAGCTAGTTCTTAGAGAAATATATTTTTTAAAATGTCCTTGACATAAACCCAGATAAAAAATGGCTTTTGGCGCTTGTACCTAAAAGCCAAAGATTTCAGCACTCTGAACGTTCTTAGGCCATTTTTAAATATTTTCTTGCAGATTTGGCAATGAAAAGTTGAAACAGTTGTGGCCTCTGCCATTTACTGCATTGTGTACCTACCTCGCTGGCATCCTACAGGACTCTAAACCAGAACCAGCCTGTCACTAAATCAGGAAATCAGACAAAATTCCTTTAAAACTTGATGGAACACAGCAGAAGCTAGTGGCGTTTCATCTTTGCAGTTAGTTCTATCCCACTATGGTTTTTCTTGATGCAGCCAAGAAATACAGCTGAAATTTTAGAACAGTTTATACTATTGAAATCTATTTGTTTGGACTTTCTGACTATGCTGCAAGACCAGAAATTATCTCAAAGTATATGCTTCTCCCATCCAAGGGTCCTGAAGCCAACTTTATCAGGTCAAAGTCAATTATGCACACACAAGGGCAGAGCCCTACATAGGTAAAGGGCAGAAGGTGGGATACCAGAGACGTAGAAGACCCATCCTCTGCTCCAAAAGAGCTTTAGGCCTATTTGAAGATAAATATGTACTTATCAGCATGCTAACAAGAGAGAGCAGAGTAAAACCTTTTCAACTAGCCACTTTTGAAGAAATAGTATCTATAAACGTTAGCAGTCAACTTAGAGTCCACCAAAACTCCATTTTGGCCCACTCAAATCTTGGATTTGTCCCTTTTCCATCCCTCTGGCCACATGGTACACCACTCTCCTTGGCCAGCCACATCCTAACTTCAGAAATTAAGGAATTGGACAATCAAAGTGGATTTTTAAAAAATTTAGCATGGCATTCTAAAGATGAATCAGTGCTCTCCTCGCCTTGTTCAAAGGATAACACAGATATTTCTGTTGGCATTGCTTTGACCCTCCAGATGCCTCAGGTGCCCATTAAGCAAGAGACTCAACATGGAGGATTGTTGTCCTCTCTTTCAGAAGGTGCAATAGCGCACAATGTCCCACGACATTCATTCCTGATCATCATAGGAAGGGAGTAGAGCAAGTGTGTGTGTGTGTGTGTGTGTGTGGTGTGTGCGTGTGAGTGTGTGTGTGTCGGGGGAAAGGGGGGTTCCAAAGCTTCATAACCCTAATTTAGAAAACAGTTTTCATCTTTAAAAAAAAAAATCACACGTTCCTTATTCCCAGGCAAGCTATAGTCAGACAGATGATGAAAGTAACATGAAAGCTGGTGATGAAGGAGAGCCCTGCACCCACCCACACAGAGGAGAAGACAGCAGCCTGGCAGCAAGCTCACCGAAGAGAGGAACCACCACACGCAGCTGCTCCCGACAGACCCCACCCCTAAAGATGTGTTCTGCCGGCTATAGTGCAGCCAACTTTTTGTTGTAAGATTTGTAGTTCATAGGTGTGTGTTTTGAGAAGGAAAAAAAAAGAGACTTCTGTTCAAAGCTAACTTATCAGCTACATCTCCTGTAACATGGCTCATCCCTCAAAAAAAAAAAGGCTGAAAACCTGCTGCTGTGACGATGGCAGTGTTAACAAGCATTTTAAACCTTTGCACATGATATTGAACCTGTTCAGTTTACAATTACAATATTAATACTGTTTATAGCTAGAAGTTTGATTTCTGAATTGTTTGAGATTTTAGCAAAACAGTTTATTATACACTGTACATTTTTTTCCACAGCAATTGGGAAAAAACAACCACTTGCAATTATTCACTAACCCTGAAGGATTTGGTTCCTGAGTGTACAGACTCAGAGCCCAGAAGCCAACAAGGGGCCTTGGCCTGCACGGTCTGCAGTTGTCTCTAAGTCTCTGCGAGCAGTGACTTGAACCAAATACACCAGGATAATCCAGTCTTTGGGGTTTCTTTCCAACTTGGGGTTGTTTTCTTTCAAGATCCTCTAACCAATCAGCCATAGAAGTTAGTGTAAATATTTTTTCCAAATAGATATCATATTCAAAAAAAGGCAACATTCAAATTATATAGAATCTAGTTTTTAAAATCAGCACAGATCTTCTTAAAAACTGTGAACTATGTTTTGAAATACTCGTTACTAAAGCTGTTTATAAACCACAGGTGCCATAAGATCCCCAAACGGACTAAAGCTATCTCTGCTCTTCCGTGGTCTTGTTCCTCTCGTTTTAGCTTTAGGGAGCATGTGTCTAACAGCACCTCTCATCCACGAGTTCCCCAGCAGGTTGTTTGGAGGCCTTCAGCTTTAAATGTACAGGCTTAAAGTGCGCTTGCAAAAGTTCGCTCTCCTTTTATTTCTGAATGTTTATTGCCTTAGCTGGCTACCTGGTGTTCTGCATGCAGCCTTCTGTGGTCATGTGAGAGGAAACAGGCTCTGCTAAGTTGCATTGGGATTTGGCACTCAGCAAAAAGCTGATGTGCGAAAGAACTGTCAAAGAAGGGAGAATGAAAGACTCTGTTGATGATCCTTTATGAGGCCCCTCTTTGGGGAGCACTAAAGACCTCTCTTAGGGATTCCGGGGAAATGAAAAAATAATCTTCCACTTGTCTCAAGATTCGATGAAGTAAAAATCCTGCAACATACTCAAATTGGCAGCTTCTCTGGAATTCCTGTTTGTCCTTTAAAAGAAAGAAGAGACCATCCTTTTAGAACAATGATTCTCAAAGTGTGTTCCCTCGACCAACAGCATCAGCATCACTTGGGAATCTATTAGAAACGCAAATTCTCGGGCCCCAACGCTGGCCTACTGAATCAGAAACTCGGGGTGGGCCCAGCAATCTGTGTTTCATTAAGCCTTCCAGGCGATTCTGATGCCCACTAAAGGTGGGGAACCACTGCTTTAGAATAAAATCATATAATAAAATCTCTGAAAAGGCCCTATTCAGAATAAGCAAGAAAGGTTCTGAGTCAACCTCAAAGCTGTAGCAATTGGATTTTGCTTCCAGGGCTGGCAAAAACCCTCTCCCAGCCCACATAGTCAGCAGTAGGTGGGTGCCCAGCTGAGAACAGACACCCTGACATCTTCTAACTCCCTCTCCGGAGGGCTCTAAGATGCTCTCATCTCTGCGTTTGTTCGGAAATCATCTCCTTGACTGCCCTTTGGAACAGAACTGCTTGCCTTGGGGATAGTAAAGCTCTTGGTTGGCGTTAGTAAGGAGCCCATTCTGTCCATTGATGTGCTTCATCATGCGTCCCTCCCGAGAACCAGCCTGCCAAATGTCCCTGAGGACAGGCTGACACCAAAGTGGCACAACTACACACTTCTCAGATTTCTTTGCACAGATGGATTTTATTGCGGGTTCTGTTGATATATCTTAATGTTCATCTCCTTTCCACTGCCCATCTTCTGTGAAACCATACCTCTCTAGATGGAGCAAGTGGCCCCTCGTGCCTCATACTCGGTACTTAGAACCACTACATCTCAGCTACCTACATTGCTGTCAGCTCCAAATCATAGCCGGGTAGTTCCTGAACTTGGAACTCTGACCCTGCAAGTGGCATTCAGCCACTGACTGGACTGAGCTGACATCTGTTGTTATTTTGTGTTTCTACATCAAAACATTTGTCTAAGGTTTGAACTGTTTTGCTGATAACCTTCCCCCTGTCATAGGTTTCATTGCCAACTCCATCACATGGTTGTTGATACCATCGTACAAAGCCATCGCAAGGACTCTGGAAACTGCTGCCAATGACAAATTCCTGACTAACCAGCCACCTTTTCTTTCTCTTAGCTCCACGTCAGCACTGAGACCAGACTCAAGCACCCCTGTCCTGTAACCGAGACAAAATGGCGTGTGTTGTTTTGGGTTTTTGTGTTTTTTGGTGGGTTTCTTTCCTTGGCTCTCCAAATTTACTTTTGGGGCCTGTTCTAAGTGCAAACCCAGCAAGTTTCACCTGTCCTGTCCTTTAGATACAATTATATCTTGCGGGGGTTGTTTCTTTCTTGTTCCACAATGAATTGCACATCCATCTCCATCAGAGATGATGGCCTATCAATGAGCACTGGTCTAACACAGCCAACCCTCCCCCACAGCACCCTGTTATTAGAGGGAGGGAGGAGAGTGAAATCTACTGTATGGGATTCAGGAATCGGTTGTGATTGGTCAGGACGGAAGTCGGGGTAAGTTTGGTTGGTCAGAGGGAGATGTGCTGGAGATTGTGAAAAATGGATTCTCGAACGATCTACTTTAAGGCAGGGAAGGTTCATTTGTAAGTAGTAATGTGAACTGAATTGCATAAGAGTGTGGCCTTTGTCGTGTGATATACTATGTATTTTCTTATATGCATGAGCCAAAACTGTTGCATCATAATTTAGCACTGATGTCTGCTTTTATTTTGATCATCTTTGTCCACCCTTCTTAGTTCTTCGCCGTTAACTGTAGATAGACCTTGTAAATACAGCAACCTTCGGTTGCTGCGACCACCTTGGGTCAATTCCGCGCAAGGAGCCACAAACAAGAACTCCACTGTGTCCTCAGAAGAAAGGGCATTTTTACTTTTGAACCAAAAAGAGAAGAAAAAAAAATCAGAAGCATTATATCTTGAGGCTAATTAAGTGTAAGACATTTTTAATTATGACTACTGTAATTTGACACCATTAGAAATAACCAATTCAGAAACACTAAAGATTTCACAATATTCATTGGTATTGTAACAAAACTACTATTGTATGGGTTTTTTGTATTGCTGTTACGTATTGTTTCGTGTGTGTGTGTGTGTGTTGGAACCTCCTGGGGACATGTTATATTTTGAAGTGATTAAACTATTTAATTGTGTGTCTATATTTTGGAATGGAATTATTTCTTCATTAAAAAATGTTTTTAAAAACACTATATCTTGTGTATTTTACTCATTGTTTCAATGAATTCTTCCCAAAGCGACATAGAGTCATTCTGTTCAAAGGAGAAAGACAAGTGAGTACTTGCAGTGTGGAGCAGGACCCCTTGATTGGGTATTAGGCAAAATATCCCACCTTTTCCTTCCTTGGGGGACAGGACTTTTTTTTAATGGAAAGGCTTGTTATAATCAATATGGAGATGAATTTGAGAATACTAATAGCTCACATATTTTAGTGCTTACTTTATATCAGACCCTTTTATAAGCACTTTATGTCCCTTCACTCAATCCTTTGAATTTGCAGCATCTAGCCAGGTAATTGGCAAATATTACGTGCTCAGTTATTTGTTGAATGAATAAATCAGTGGCTTTTGTTTTGTGTGTGGTACAGCTAGTGAGAAAGAAGAATCGGCACACCCTGGAGGTCAATGTGATGATAGCAACAGAAATGAAGACAGTTCCAGGGGACAAAAACTCAGTGTCAAGAGTCCACAGAGGTAGCACCCCCTACATTCTCATTTCTCTTCCAAGAACCTCTCTGATTCCCATGCGATGCAGGGTTGTGTGTTTTTGCTCAAGGAGCCAATTCCTTTCCAGAACCAAGAGCAGAATCAGTGAGTCTGGCTCCAACACTTCATGAATGGCATTTTTCAGAGCTCCAACTTGGAATGGTGCTGAAAGACTGTGCTCGCAGAGTCTTGGAATCCATGAAAATGCTATGAACACTCAAGAGGCACCAGAGAAAGAAAATAAGAGGCTCTGCATCAATTGCAGGGGCAAATCCTGACCTGATATGATCTCTAGAGGAAACTCACACATTCCCCTCCCCTTGGAGGTAAGAAACAAGGGTAGGTCCTTTGGTGCCTGTCCAGGGCTCTTTCACTGCGTCTCAATGCCTCCTCCCTCATCTCTTAGGGGCCACATTGAGCTGTAATTTCCCTACCTCAGCATTTCCCAAATTAATTGCCAAAGTCACCTGAGGATTTGGTTACTTCTGATTTAGCAGGTCTGGAGTAGGTCTAGGGTATCTGTATGTTTAGTAAGAGCCTCAGGTGATACCTGTAGTCTCACAAATTTTAAGAAATGCTAGTCCCTTACTACTCAAATGTGGTCCAGGGAGCAACAGCATTAGCATCACCCGGGAGCTGGTTACAAATGCGGAATCTCTGGCCCTAAACCACACCTACTGAGTCATAGTCTGCATTTCATCAAGACACCCAGGGGATTTGTGTGCACCTTAAAGTTTAAGAAGCGTGGACCTGGAATCCAGTTAGCATTAGGTTCAGTTGGGTCCTTGGGGCATAGAATGACAAGCCAGGGGTGCTCTTTAAACTAGGATAGTGCAGTACTTCTCAAACTTGTAGAGTTTTGATTTAGTAAGTCTAGGGTAGGTCCCGAGCTATGCATTTCAAACATGTCCTCAGATGACGCTTATACCTGTCTGAGGACCACACTTTGAGGTACAAGGATATAGAGTTCTTTTAAATAAGGCAAATTCTGGGAAGCTTATTACTGTAAACCAGGTACCATAATCTACCCCTGGCCTTTGTGGATTTCTTTACATAGCAGATAGAGATACTCAAATCTAAGGACATGAATATGATGGAAGCTCACTAGGTTTAAGGCACTCAGGTAGCATTGCAGCAGCTAAACTATACCAGCAGCACTGGAAGCAGCTGGATCTAAAGAGTCTGCCAAAGAAGAATCTTTTGCTCCAAGAATTAAGGCCTCTGTCTCCATGGTACAAGGAATCACCCAGGAGTAGGACTCTATGGGCTTAGTGGCCCCAAAAGGGCAGATTTGCAAAGTTGGGATAGGGACACATTGGATGAGAAAAAGCTGGCAATATTTCAGATTCATCATTCCAGCAGAGCACATCAGCTACTGAGACGCCCAGGGAGAAGTTCTCTGGGCACCTTAAAACCTGGGGTTCTGCCTCCTGAGACTATGATACCTTAAACTACACTTGGACCACTATGCTGTGATGGAGCCCCCACCCCCAAATTCGAAATCCCAATGATACATGGGCAAAGATGTTCATGATGCCTTGTCTATAACCACAAAAAATTAGAAATAGCAGAAATGGACAATAATAAAGGAGCATTTAAACTACTTATGGCATGATATGGTAAGCTGGAATACTAAGAAGCCATAAAAATGATGATACAGAGATAAATTTATCAACATGAAAGATATTTATATGTCAAACAAAAAATCACATTATAAAAGAGTCTAAGAATGATCCCAGTTTTATAAATATTTGAGTGCCTTTTCATAGAAAAATTCCCAGGAAAACACACACCAGAAGGTTGATGATCCAAATCAAGGGATTATGGATGATATTTTTATTTTCATCATGTTATTGTGTCTTTTCCACGTTCCTTATCACAAATATTTAGTGTAAATGAGTGGATGGAAAAGAAACACCTGGGTTGGACGGTTTCTTTGATTTGGTAACAAGGCTACTTGAGTTGGCCAACATTTTTGAAGGACATGCCTAACAATGTGAACTTTCTATGCCTTCTCTGAAAAAAGAGTTCTCTTTTTCTGCCTGTAGAGATGCTCAATAGCATTATCATGCCATAGAGCATTGGAAATTATGTCTACGCTTGTTTCATTTAAAAAAAAAAGACATAAAAATATTGGAGGTTTATTGTCTAGCTAAATTATGACAATTTTTGGTCCTGCTCCCAATGCTAATCAGTTCAGTAATGGATAGAAACAAAGCAAGTGAACCAGTAACGTCAGCCACCTGTATTCTCCATCTCTGGTTCTGCCATCTCATGTGTAAAATGGGAGTAAATCACACCTGTAGTTGGCTCCTTTGCTTTCCAATCTCTTGACTGTGCTGTGCAGGAGGAGTGTTGCTAAAGATGTCAAGGGCAAGAACAATCATTGGAACACAAATGGCACTAGGTAAATGGCTTCTCTGGCATTCCACTTTTTCTGGAAGTCTCTTTGTGGCCGCTCTTGCTTGAGAACAACTACACCCTGAGAATATCTGAGAAGGGTCAATTAGATCAGCTTTCTGCTCTGGACCTCAAAGAGAAACTTTATTTGCTTTTCTTGGAATTTTTTTCCTGGGCAAACACCTTTCCTTGCCATCAGTGGGGGTGAGTGAAAGTAGACCAAGAAGATAAAGAGGAAAGGTATGTGGTCAGGTCTAGGCTGATAGAGTCCTCCACACACTCTAGTCTCACTCCTGTGGTGTAGGGGGCAAACACCTTATGGTAATAAAGACTGCTCATTTGCCTGATTCTGTCCTCATCTTTATCCATTTTGTGCCAAAAAACATAGATTTACAATTAATTTTAGGTATCTCTCTTTTACATCATGTAGGAAATAAAAAGTGGTGTTACAAACTAAAAAATACAATTGTGTTCCATTTCCACCCCAAGCAGGAAGCCTCTGTGTCCAGAGATTTTACTGGGATTGCATTATGTAGGCATAATTGATTAAACCAATGGAACTCAATCTCCAGCCCCCTTCCCTTCCTGGACGTTGGGGTGGCCCAAATTTCCAACTATAGAATCACAAGGAGGTTGATGTTTCTAGTGAATGGCCCTCATCCTGAAGCAGTCTAGGGACTCACAATGAGTTACCTCATTAGCATAACAGAGACACTCCTATCACTCAGGAAATTCCAAGGGTTTTTGAAGCTCTGTGCCAGGAGCCAGGGACAAAGACTAGACATATTCTCTTCTATATCACACACTAATACTCAATTTTATATTTTCCCATGTAGTTACTTTTCCTAGAGATCTTTATTTCTTCATACAGTGTTGAGTTATTGTCTAGTGTCCTCTGACTTCAACCTAAGAACTCTCTTTAACATTCCCTACAAGGCGGGTCTACTGTAATGAA